AATATATAAAACCATTCTACATCTAAAAAAGAAGAACAGCAATAAAGGGGGAGTCGGTGGTCGCAACGGTTAAGACGTTGACATGGAGCAAATCGCTGTTTAAGGGAAAGGTCCCGGGTTCGAATCCATCGGCCATGTATTTGAACTCGACATACTAACAAATGAGCTTTTTTCCAAAATCTTTGTCAGCTTTAAAGTAAAAATATTAAGCATGCCTATTTTATTTAAATATTTTCACAACTGCATTTATTCTCGTCAGGAATGAATTCGACAAGCAGTCTGTTGGTTTTTTCCTCTCTGTTAATTTTGCTCTGGTTGACACATTATTCTGCGCGTAATCTGATATACTTTAATTGATCCTTATTTTTGTCCGATTGCTTTTAAACTGAACGCCAAATGAGGATAGAAATAATTAAATTCACAACTGACTGCGTCTCATGATGACGAATCTGCAAATCACAACCGATTTACATAACTGACAGTGATTCATTCATTTTTTTCCCGGACATGATAAACAGGGGACACTATCACAATAATTTATATTTGATGAATGTGATTCATAACGAGGTTCACAATGTCATTTAATTTTGTTTTTAATGTTGTTTTGTTATTATTTTTTATTATTTGTGTTTATCTAATAAATAGGTTCTATATAAATTTATTATACATTTTCATTAAATAATTAATCTTCGATATTAGCATTACAATTAAAATAATAGAAGTTTCTATTTGGTAACCTCATGAATTTTATCCGTATCTCGCTAAGTACATTTTTTACACGAAGGTTAGCTACAACAGAGTTCATACCAACCCTCGGGTGGTGTTGTTTTTGAAAAAAGCACATTTGTTAGTATGCCGGGTGCGAATACTGGGCCGCTGGATTCGAACCCAGAACTTTACCTTACAGAGATGAGCGCCTAGGCCTCCTTAACCGTTGAGGTTCCCGCCCTAGTAAGCCAAACAAACCAATCACAATTCCAGTTAAAAAAGGGAGAAACCCTACAATTTAAGCGGTTGTACCTAGACCCTTAAGACCCCGTCCTCACTGGACGAGCTTCGTTCAGTTGAGTTGTTTCTACTTTATACCACTGTATGCCGGGCTCCAGGTCTACCAAATCAAGATTTGGCGTGGAATTCTTTTTCTGTCTTATTTTACTTCTATTTTTTACATTGCTCAAGGAACAACGCACAGAAAAGAGTTATGTGAATTTTAAATATGAGGGTCAGCCTACTATATTAGTCGTTGCCAGTTAATTATGTGGTGAATAAAGTTATTGTCCTGGGGTCACTGTGCATACAATTGTATTTTTTCTTAAATAAAAAATACATTTTAAAAAAAACTATGGCCTCAACTGCCTGAGATTTTCAGAAAATGAATTCGTCCTGTTATTAGAAATGCTCCAGCATTTTCCGTGTTCTATATTTTTCACCTATCATTTTGAAATTTCAACAGTTTCAAGATACAATAATCAAATGCCTAGCAACTTTTTGATTGAAAGAAATAATTTCACGGTTATCAAACAACAAATAATAAATAGTACGAGAGGTGCTGTTCGTTAACGAATAGAAAACAAATATGATTAATTTTATGTATTTTATTTCATTCACAAGATTGAATATCAATAAACCCTTTGATATTGGAGTTCAACCACAAAAGTACAATGAATCTCGAAAAAATCGTTCAGAAGAGCTTCTATTGTATATACAAAACTACCTTCGTATACAAAACTTGTTTTTACGAAAACTCAAAAATTATTTTCTACAAGTCACATACTTTTGACTAGAACTATAAAACCATACATAAAATAATAACAAGTATGATTAGTTCGGTGATAGATTGATAAGTGAAAAGTTAAAAAAATACAAAAACAAGTTATTGTTTGAGTCGACGTTTTTAAACAGCGGTGTAAAAAGAGGAAAATCTTTGTAAAAATAAAAGATGTATAGATTACTGTTATCTTCTCGAGTGCATCCTTGGCCACAGAATCAACAACAGCCAAAATTATTTCACATACAACGTCTATTTCACGCTGAACTTATAATTCCGAAAGGAAAATTTACCATAAGTTAGTTTAGTACAAGAATTAAGAAATTTTTGAAAGGTTGAATAGCTGAAATTATATACTCTTTTGCTCAAACTTATTTTTGGACTTAAATGCATATTTGGATAGAAAATAAAAATATATGCTATGAACTTTCTATATAGTAATTTATTTTAGTTTGATTGAATGATATTCCTATTTAGAACTGTACACAAGGGATACAGATGTGAAATTTGGTTCAGCTATCCACGCAGGGTTGGTTGCGGTTTTTGCCACCTTCAGTGTTGGGTACAACGCAGGATAGGGAGCCGAAATGATCTGTAACGACCAAATAATAGGTTCACCACACCGCATATAACACGTCGAAATATCACTCATTTTGCATTCACCCAATACTTTGCGACCTGTCCACTTCAGACTATCAAACTTTTGCAGGTGGACAGATACACTGAAAATAGCGCCTGACAGACCAACCGAGCGAGGATAGGAAGATTTGAATGATCACTAACCACCAGATTGCAGCCCCAACCCTCGGCATACATAGTTTTTCCCATTCCACCGATATTTCCTGACCAGTCCCCATCAGACTACGTTTGTTCGACGTAATTGCAACCGAACTGAACGGAAATGAATTTAAAAAGAAACTTTCCCTAATTTTATTACTCGAGAGCGTTTCTCTTAAATTTGGTCCTGAAAGCAAGCATACCTAATAGTACTTGACATTGTGTATGTAAACATGTAAAATAGAAACGACCTAACTGCAAAATATATTACTAGGTAATAAATGATCATGCATTTTAATATATAATTGCTTATATAACTGGGATAAGCGGTCAGAGTTAATTTCTCGATGAAAATATTTAATATTCGTCTTAGACGTCGATGAAAAATTAAATTTTAGTGCATTTAAGTCTGTTTTTTTGCATTAGCTATCGCCCCCCGCGCGCCCGTCTATGTAGGTCGAATTTAAAAAAAAAGTTATTTGACAACCAAAAATCTGACATCGAACTTCGTTGTCGTAATTAAATTCGATCGAACATTTCAAATTCCGGCCAATATTTATAAGTTTGACACTGTTAATAATTTCAGAGGTATGACATGTTGTACAACAAAAGGCTTCCCAACGCAAAAAAGCCTTATTTATAATTAGCGTTATATAGTAGAGTGTAATGTAATAATTAGCATGTTTGTTCAAATTGAAATCACATAACGGCCGCATATTTATACGAGTGACACTGGTCCATGTCAAAATATGATAACAAATTATGATTGTTTCCAGTTGCTTAATATAATCCAGCAGTCGATGGAGCGGAATTAATTTTAAAAAAATCATGTTTCTAATACCAACGAAAATAAATTTAGTAATTTTTGTTTATATGTATTATCCCATTATCAGAAATTTTTGAGAAAAGTGACAATCTACTTTGAGAAATAAATGTTTAAAAAATTCAGCTTTAAGTTTCAACGTATTCTGGTATATTTTGAAAATATATATCTGTACGAATTTATCGGCAATCATTGTTAACTTGTGATCTTTTTATCTTCTTTCTATTTTTAAAAAACATTTTGGAGTTAAACTGCATTCTGATGTGGTATAAAGAAGAAAACAATTCTAAAGAGTTCGTGTGGAAATTTCATCGTTAAAAACCAAACTGCCAAGTGCAACAGGTTCCCCAATTACGAACTACTGATAGTGAAAAATAACTATCAACTGCATTAATTTCTACACGGTAATCAAGATCGAGAAGGTAGAAACCTGAAAATGTAAATTTAAAGCATGAAGTTGTAAATCTGAATCAAAATTGTGTGACATACATAACATTAACGCATTCTTTTATATGTTTTCTTCTTATATTTATTAAGGGAGCTTTTGTTGTTTCGCATAACTTTTAATGTTACATTATAAACATTAAAATCTTCTTCCCTATATTTGTTTATTGTTCACTTCAAGAAAAAGGAAACGATCCTTCACATTATATTGAGATTAATATTTGTCAATAAAATAAAACAGTGATGATCGTATTCATGATATAAGCTAAATAAATTCTAAACAAAGATATAACAATCGGGTAGTAGAATGTATAAACATTTTTCTGTCTTTTGCAAAGGAAACGTCAGATTATCAGGTTTCTTTATGTTGATTCTGGATGACAAGTTCAAGAAAACAAATATATTCATGGCAAATATTTAAACAGCCTATATATTGTGTAAATTGGTCGTTCCTGATCATTTTGGTGTGCATATCTTCGCTGTTTTTTATTTCTAAGAGTTGTTTCGGTTTCTCACCCTCTTCAGTGATCATTCTATGAACAAAGACTTGATAACGAGAAGAACTTAAGAGATAGCTGAAAATGTGGGATTGAAATGAAGTATGTTTTCGTAAAGGTACTATCATCAACAGAGATAAAAGAAAAATAATAGGAAAATCTTTAACTTCAAGGGGCAGTAGGATGAAGATGAAGCACGTCCAGTTGAAGTAAAAAAAAATCATTACAGAGCAAAGACATCTGACAAGGCAATGATTGCCAGACCTAAATGATCGGAAACGACCAAACTATAAGTACTTGGAACTTATAAGTAAATTCAAGTTTATAAATTTTATATACTACATAAATGTAATTTTATGATTTTTTGTAGGCATATTATTGTATATATTTATATATATATACAATATGTATTGAAATGCCCAATACATGTTTTTTATAGTGAAAATTTTTTGTGTTAAAAATGGCTTTAAAACTAATCTACTATAATAAAAATGAGTGTATTTAAGGAGTATATTGAACAAGGGAAATTTTATTTAAAAAGAATTAATAATATATTTGATTTAATCACTTTTAATTGTTTTTCTAATACACTAATGCCAGAGGTCTGATTGAGAGTAGAGAGCCGCGCCGACCGGCCCATGGATTCTCCCGGGCTTTTATCACTGAAGGGCGAGTATTGCAAACGGCTTACTTGAGTGTTTGGGGTGGATGAGGGTGAAGGCACTGTCAGACGAAGCAGGGGTCGCCTGTAAGGCCCTCAGCCTGTAGTCGAGAGGTGCGAGCTCCATGTATCCCAGAAGACTAGACGGCGGATTGCCAAACAGCGGTGCCGAGGCCCTCCTCCACCGCCTGGCGCATGCCTGCTCCCCTCCCGGCCAGGACACCCACACCGCAAACCGGCCCTCCTCTCTTTAAACGCCACCCTTGAGATACATTTTTTTCCAAACCCACCCCCACCAACTTTAAGCCGGTGGTTTTTTTGGGTTTTTGTTGCTTTTTTTACTGACCTTTCTTGTATGATAATGCAACCCCTTCGCACATTTATACCAATGGCCTCGCTACAAATAAATAAAAAAACTTATTGTGTATCGTTTGTCCTGAATCACAACAATAAAACTTAAATTTAATAAGGAAATTTTGAGGTAGTACTCTACTTTATGCAACTCGCCAATTAAAGACGTTAAGCTAAGCAAACGTATAAATTGGGCAATTTCCAAAATTTAGTTACATTCACCTTAGTAAAATCCTGACTGTTTAACAATTTTTTTTTTTTTTTTTTTGACTTCATTTATTTATATCTACAACTGTACATGCATGATATACAACCAGCAGATTGGATTTCAGACTGTGTGTTTGGCATTATGGGCGTTATAGAGAAAGCTACCCATTGGCAGCCGCTCTGGATTAATGAAATTATATTAATCATTTAAGAGGTTTCTTATCCATATTCTTTTCAGACGTTTACGTGGTAATTGTGGGGAATGGAGTAATTGTATTTGTGTGTTGGTGTGATTTTGTAATTTACTATGAAAACGTCTGTAATATGTTTTGATGGATGAAAAAACTGTTGGGATTTGAAGATCTCTGTGAAGTGTATTATTGTTTACATAAAATGGGGCAGAAATAATTAGTCTTAAAATTTTGGATTGAAAACTTTGTAATCTTTGAATATTGGAATACTTGGCCGATCCATATACTTGGCACCCATACATCCAAATTGGTTTGAGTAGGTATGTGTATGTCGAAAGTTTTGATTTTAATGGTAATTTTGATTGTCTGTTGAGTAGGTAATAAAGAATTTTAAATCGTTTGTTCAGTGTCTGTTTTTTTAATCGTGTGTGTGGATTCCAAGTTAGTCTTCTATCAGAGGAACCACAGCAGAGGTTATACCAATCCTCGGGGTGCCGGTGTTTTTGAAAAACAAAAAAACTATTTGTATGATGTATGCCTGGTTCGAATGCAGGGCCGCTGGATTCGAACCCTGGACCTTTACCTTACAGTGATGAGCGCCGTGTCAACGCCTAAACCGTTGAGGCCACCGACGCACCCTTTAACTTATTGTAAAACATTTAGAGGTTGTTACTAATCCTTTTGCACTGTCTCGATTAACAATATTAAAAAAATTATTTGCTCTTCCTAATCCTGCCCCAAACTACATGATTTATTTAGATACGTCCACTGACCTGATTTACGCGTATATACCCTAAGACTTCACTTCTCATTTATTTTCAAAATTTTGAATTCCCCGTATACAAAATTGTCAATAATAACAGCGGTCGAAGTTAACAGGAGTAAGATCTCCTGGTATGCCCAATGGCTTAAGCTCTATCAAAGATTTGGAGTAACCTGTCCCACTTACGAAAACCTTGCTGATTGGCCAGCTCTTTTTTTCCGTTCTGCTATCTAGAATCAAGGAACGGCATCGGGACGGCTTACTCCGGATTCAGTCCTCGATTAACTTTTCCTCATTTAAAGGCTTGACTCACCCTCACACCTTACTTAATCTGCAGAGAGAGAGAATCTACTATCCCTTAGTTTATTAAACTTAAGATCCCTATTAAAAACCCGTTGCGAGGCCCTTAACTGGAATTCTGCAGTTGGGTCGATGGGCAGGGAGGGGTTGTGTGCCCTTTGCCATTCTCTATCCGTGGAAATAACATTGCATTATATGGCTAAATGTTCAATATTGAGCGAGATCAAGTTGTTGCAGTTGGGATCTTTTACCCTCTCTAGAAACACTGTTAAATCTGATGAATGGCTCAGAGACACGGGCACTCACTCAGTACGTCCGCCACGCCTGGAAATATAGGTTAGACCTAGTAATGAAATTAAATTTTTGACCCCTCCAGTTCATTCGAATTTCCTTTATATATTATATGATTTCATTATATCCAATTTGTTGTTACTTTACATCAAGACTTTTCCCCTTTGTTTGTTTTTATTATAAGTATTTTTACAATAATTTTAACATACTTGTTTTGTGTGTGCTAGCATAAAGCGAATAATGTTAAAACCAAGCTTTTCCTTTCCTTAAATTTCTTTTCGATAGCCAACTTATCGAGTGAATTAATTGTTTGATAAAACTATAATTTTTTACAAAAAATTAATTATTAATTTTTTCTAAAAGTATGGTTTTAAATCATCCCCTGTCAACTACCGTCAGTAAAATAGCCAAAGTCCTGGGCATTCCGTACTCTACCATCCACGATGGTGTACAGCGGTTTAGGCTACCGGAAGTTTCGCTCGAAGAGAAGGTAGTGGTCGTCTGCTATCTGCGCCGACTAGAAGCGATCATTATTACTCTTACCGCACTAAGGAACCATAATTTAACGGGTTCCTTGATAGGTAGTCAACTCCAAACGGTCTTAATGTGAGAGGGAGCTCTAAATCAGTGTTCAGAAGGATTCGTGAGAGAAGCCTAGGCTCTAGACGTCCAGCACCAGGTTCTACTATTGGAGAGGCACGACTAAGCGCAACTCAGCATCAGACTTGGACACTTGAACAATTAGGGCTGTTCTCTTCACAGATGAGTGCCAGTTTGGTTTATAGCAATCAAACGACTGAGACCGTGTGTGTGGAGAAGACGTGGAGAACACTTTGCTTCATGTGCCATGCTTAACTCACTGACTTTTCAGAGATAGTCAATTATGGTATGGGCTGGAATCAACGTCCAAGCCCGTACCGAACTGATGTCATACAGATGGATTACACTAAGGTACATTAAGGAAGTTCATCTGCTGTGGCCCCATTCGCTGCATTTATTTGGGGCAACATAGTGTTAATGCAAAGCAATGCTCGAATGCGTGTAGCTTGAGTTGTCACCCTTTATTTGGAGGATATATGGATTATCACAATGGATTGGCAAACATTTTCTCCTAATATGAATCCTTTAAAACATTTATGGACATGAGAAACAGTTTAGACATCATTCGCAGGTTCCAAGTGTTGAGCAGGTTAAAACCGCCCTTGAAGAATGGGATTCTGTTTCACAAGAGGAAATCCGATTGCTTATTTAATCGATGCCTAGAGATAAGGCCCTCCGCAAGGCCAGAGAAGATAATACGCATTACTAAGAACAAAGCAACGTAATAAATGGTTAATTTAATAGTAATCTATAACTAAACAATTTTCCTTTTTTGGTGAATTTTCTTTCAAACCATCATAATTAAATTATTTGAATTAAAACTCATGAATTTTTGATATCGTTTAATTTGGTTTACATTAATAAATATATTATAATTGATATAACTGTAAAAAATGATCTAGTTTGAAATAATAAAATACGAGTATCCAGTTTTTTGTCTTTGACTTTATTAAAGCTGCAAAACCTGAAAAACGCGTTATCTAGTATCAGACATATTATAATTTCATTCTTTTCATTTTTGTTATATGTTCATATTTTTCCTTTTACGAATGCCCAAGTACACGCTAAGTGCGATAAATCAATTATTAATTAGGAAGATTTTTGATGCTCAAATTATGGGTACTAGTTGAAGTTGTTTGAAAACCATAACCAGATATTTTAAGTATGAGATTCTCCTTGTAGCAAATGTGGATTCCTTGTTTTACGATATTAAGAGCATAAAATATGTAAGGAACGTGTATATAAATTAATAATGTATATAATAGTAATGTACTTTAGGAGGCCTTCATTCGAAACGCGGTCAAACGCTTGTGACGTCAATAAAAGTTCCCTTTGTAATACAGTATTATTTGCGCTGGAGAATTTAGGATATGCGGCACAAAACGTGAAATACTTCCTGGGTAGTCGAGTGTTGGGACGGAAGACAAACTGTTGGTGTCGGAGAAGTATGGAGAATTGAGTGCCCTTTGGGGATTTAGTGGTTAGGGCTTCAGATTCGTATTAGCCCCGCTAGCGGCTCTGGGTTCGAATCCAAGCAAACCCTTTGGAATTTTATTCGAAAATCATTTGAAAAATGTGTTCTGAAGTGGTTCTGACTTAAACTATCGATACTTATTATATTTATCGAATACGTTCCTCAAAAGACTTCTCAATTAACAAAAACGCTCTATTCTGTTCAGTCAAAGCGTGGTACAGCATAACATACTTAACTCAACTACCGGGGCCATATTGTCTCTAGTGAGCTGACCAGTATGTTATAAAGCACTAGAAGAAAGCGTCGTTTTTAAGAACCGTGCAAGGAAGAATATTACATAAAATTTACAGCATGTGCATTGGCAGCAGAAACTTCCATCAATTTAAAATTCAAGTAAGTCGTTGATGGCTACTAGGCATAATCCACAAAATGTAATTGGATCGTGGTTAATCGTGGTTAAGAAGGATCATTCGATGAAGTACCGCGGATCGGTGCTCTAATAATCAACTTTGCTGAGGTCGATGGAATGGGTTGAACAGCAGAGGAACCAAGGAAATGAGAAAGCGGATAGATTGGCTCCCCAAGTGAACAGATATCTACTACTTTTTAATAAAAAGCAGCGAGGAAAAAAGCCGCCAAGTTTGTGAGCTTGAGTGGGAAACTACTGTAAGACCAGTAATGAAGGCCTATTTTACGAACATTCGAATTTCGCATAACCAAAAGACTTTCAGAATCCAAAATGACCCAGATTCTCAGCGTACAAAGAACGATAAAATCTTATCTGTACAAATTTATTTTCTCTTTTGATCCAACATGTATACTTCTACAATTAGATCAAACTTGGGACCATTTATATGTTTGTCTAATGTTCTTAAAACTATATATCTAGATGGAAAGAATTTTTTTGATATGTGAATTGGAGCCAGTTGAAAAAATGGATCTAATGAAAGACTAAAGTTCAATCTTTATCAATACAATCAGTTTTGAGATGTTTTAACACAGACATTAAGTTTAACATTTATAACATAAA